GGCTATCAAGGAGGACAAGCCAATGGACGAACAGACCGAGCCGAGTAACAATGAAGATGAGGAGACACAATATACTGTGATCGATGAAGAACGTGCTGGAGCCGCATCTATAAACGCAAAGGAGGAAAGGGGTTCGCAGGGGCCGTCAAATGACGCAAACAACGATTCGGTTGAAAGCAAGCAAGACGATCCCCATGAAAGGGAAAACACCTCACACACTGAAACGCCAGGCGACATCGCGGATTCGGATTCAATATCGAAGGGACCAGTAGAGCATGTGGTCCAAGAAAGTTCAGTTATGCACAAGGAGCCCCAACAAAGTTTGACGTCGCATGATAAACCAAAGGAGGAGCAAGCGAAAGAACAATTAGCAAACGACGATTTCGATGCCGTTTTTATGGAGCGACCGAGTGACAAAGACCGATCTTCGTCGGACGAAGGGGGAGGCGAAAGTTTCGAAATCATTTCGTCTACCACAAGCCCCAAGGAGCAACAAGCACCAGCAGTCGATGAATTCGACTCTGCTTTTGCAAGCGAACTTCAAGATGCCAAAGTTGTCAACGATTCTTCCCTATTTAACCAAGACGATTTCGACGCAGCCTTTGCCGAGGAGTTGACCGACGCCAAAGTAGTCCAGAACAATGACGAAAAGGAAGCAACACAAGGAGATAATAAGCTAAGCTGGGCAAGCGACTTTGGTGGGTTTAGTTTTGATTTCGATACCAAGAAGAATGACGACGATTGGGACTCTATCTTTGGCGGTGATGATGGCAAAGCAGGGGGACCCGAGCATGTGGGATTCGAGGACGCGTTTTCTGCAAGCTTTAATAACAGTAATAGCAGCAGCAGTAATGATAATCAGCCTGAAGCAACAGAAAGCAGTGTCAAGGAGGTCCAACAAGAACAAGAGACAGTCGCCAATAGTACTTTGGATGAACTAGTTATGATGGGATTCGATCGAGATTTGGCCAAGGATGCCTTAGAAAGATATGACCAGGACTTACAGAAGGCAACCAACTTCTTGTTAGACTTGGCAGCAAAATAAACAAGAACTTAAAAAAGGGTAAATATCTTGCCTGTCTATTCTGAGATTGACAGCGAGCCACAAGGTTGTTATTTTGGGAATTGGGGGTTTTGTACTTGATAGAATATGTACAAAGGTCCTAGCGTTTCAATAGTGGAAGCTAATCTTAAGTCCCCCCTTTTTTTCTCTTTTCTTTCTTTCCTCTTCTTGTATACTCTCCCTCCTGCTATCCTGACTCCTAACTACTGGTATCATCCTTTCGGTCTACCCCCGGTTATTATAACTGTTTTTTTACGGGGGTGTCGTTATGCACACACAGACTGGCAAATTATCGCGATGCGCCAGATATAAACATGCTTATTTTCTTTCTTTTTCTCTTCACTTTCCTTTCTACTTTCCCACATAATAATAATGGATCCTGGTGTATCTCAACAAGCGTACACATCAATGATGAAGTTTACCATTGATGGACGGCCTTATCTGAAGGTAGGTATCTACATCTGCTGCCAGGGGCGCGGCGAGGGATCCATATTAATATAATCGCATTGCTTTTAGGACATCCATGATCTGTTCGCAGCGTTGATCGTCCAAATTCCCCTTGACACACACCGGTACCTCTTTCGAAACTACCCTAATACGTTCACATCAGACGATGCTATCCAGGCGCTGGGTTCGCTTCGATTTTCTCACACAGCACGTGTGCCAGATCCCAACGACCCATCCAAGCTGCTGCGCACGACTACAACCACTACATTCAACATGGAAAAGGAAATGGCCAAAGCACTGTGCCAACAGTTTCAGCAGTGTCGACTGACGGAGAACGCCACAGATCCGCAGAGTCGCTCTTTTCGTGATAAGGGCATTTGGCAATTGACACCAAAGGGTCTTTGTGTGCTCCAAGACTTTTGCGTACGCACTGAAGCCAACATGTCCTCACTTCGCAAACACTTTGGCCATATCGAACCGATCCAACTCGTTCGACTTGAGCGACACAGCGATGATGACCAGGTCATCTTTGGTCGCCAAAATCTTTCTGTCGTCTTTCGGATCATGATGACGAGTTTGCCACTCGAAGGAGAGCTTGACAAAACACACAATCAAAGCACCAAAGCAACGTCGTCAGGCATGCGCGGCGATAAGTCATCTCTCTCTGCAGCATCTTCGCAAGCTTCAGGGTCCACCAGCACATCAAACCCTGCACCTTTTGCAATGACATCTCATATATCCAACGGCGATTCACGCGTACAACTGCTTGCCAACAATCTTTTGACCTATTCCAAAAAGGGTGCTAAGGGGGGTCCCACCACGCGGTCTGCCAAGAACATGCGCACTGTATTCTCGACTCAGTTGGCCTGCGACTGGCTCACCGAGTACAGCACGGTTTCATCTCGCGAGGAGGCCGAAACCATTACCAACGAGTTCATAAAGTATGGCTGGATCGAATTCCAAGATCCCAAGCAGTCTGCGCCTGCTCGTGCATCAAAAACAATCATGTTGATCGTTACTGGAAAAGGCAAAGAAGTGGTGGCCGAGTTCGACAAGCCGGTCGCACGCTCGTCTTCTGCAACAAGCCTTGCACGAAGCCGTTCCCTACGTAGCCAATCAACTCTGCCGTCCAGTGTGGACGAGGATGACCAGCAGACCACCTTGCGGGAGATATTATCGCAAGATCCAGAAGCTGTTCACGAACCACCACCATCAGCAAGGCAGCCCCGCAGCCGCCAAAGCACTCAGTCTTCAGTATCACGTCCTCCAAGTACGGCTATTGACTACCCCGTGCCAGACACGGTTTCAGGTCTCAACAGCAAAGAAGACCCCAAGGAGAGCAACACCGCGCGCCTCAAAGTTATTCTGGATGATCCCCAGCTGCGATCTCTCTTTAAAGACTTCCTCAGAGCAAACTACTGCGAAGAAAACCTCGATTTTTGGATCGATTACTCCACGCTGCGACGGAAATGCCGTAACCAGAGCCCTGCCATGCCCTCACAAAACCAAAAGGATCTGCTGGAAGACGCCCATGATCTGTGGTCGACGTATCTCGCTCCGGGCGCACCAAACGAACTCAATGTCGAGCATTCGTTACGTCAAGAAATGGCACGTGTGGTGAATTCAATGGTGCAGGTCGTGCCAACATACGCTCCGGGTCAGGTCAAATCTACAGTTGTTATCTCAACTCATTCCACGTCTCAGGCACTGCGCATGATGCTAAAGTGGCTTGAGCGGGTCAACGAGCATATCTGTCGACTCATGGCGTCGGATTCGGTTCCTAAGTTTGTAAAGACGCCAAAGTATCGCAAGATTCAGGACATTCGAGAACGGGAGCAGCAAAAGTTACAGGGCCATGAGGGCCCGGTGGACGGCGAACTGTTTTCCGCACCGTCGTTTGTGGAAAACAAGGCATAATAGTCACGCAGGTTATTTCCTCTCTTAGTACACACTTCTGTAGCAATAAAATATGAGCCTGGCACAGTTTTATACAAAGATATTTGGCCTCGGTGTGTTTATTGGCGGCGGTGTAGAGTTCATGCTCATCAAGAGCAACTACTGTATGTCTACACCATTGAGACAATTCAACACAATGTACTTAATTTCGCCAATGTAGATCAAATGCTGGCTGCATCAGAAGCCAAGTCGCGAGCAAAGAAGCAGGACGAAGACGACGAAGCCCTTGAACGGTTTAAGCGCATATCTCAGGAGCAACAGCAGCAACCACCACGGTCTTCATGAATAAAGGAAACCTTGTAATACTTCGGCGATCTTTTTTGGTTTACGGATGATCTAAAAAGGGGGTCCCTCTTTTATCCTCCTAGTTGCATCTCTTATCAAGCAAATATATTCGCGGTAATTTTACTGCATAGTGCCGTTGATCGTCTATGCTGACGATGCCTTGAACTGGTGACTGACCGTTAACGTGTGTTGTATGTTGGCGTGGTTTCTGGGTTTTGACATCACATACTGACAACAAAAAAAGCAATGCTGTCCCACCACATCTGGCAGCTCGTTCTTTTTTTATTGTAAGGATAATATATGAAATATGTACTATTGTAGTTAGGGGCCAAAGTAACTCAAATGCATGGCGTTGACGTGATTCTACTATTGTTACTACTAACTCCACCGGATCTTTAGCTAAGCCCGTTATTATAGAGTACGTTATACTACAGAACATAGCAACATCTCCCACAATCGAACCCAAGTTTCGCTTTCACAATCTTTTTGATGAAACTTGATCATGGACAATTTGGTAATCGAGAACAAAACGCCTCTTATGAACGCCACAGTTAAAGATCGGCAGTACACGCGCGTCAAATCGACACTTTGCATTTGAAAGTAGAATCGATTCTTTTCCCGATCAGGGGTTATAATTGCCACGAAAAGACTACTATGGAACCTTCGCTACGCATCTGGTAACAACACTGGTACGGCGCTTTGGCCATCAATTTTGTGAAGCTGTTGCACTGCATAACAAGCGTATTGACTAAATCAAACCATGAGTATACTCCTATCGGGTTGCCGTCATTGCAGATATACCAGTTGCTCGGAAGCAGTTTGCTTAAACCAACGTTCTTATCATCTGCACATCACTACTTCTCATCACTTTTTTCCCGACGCTTAGCTTTCCGCTGCCAAATAGCAACAGCAGCCATGACAGCAACGTGCCATTACATATCCAAATTCTACAGCGAAACCTATGTTATACCATAGCCCTCCAGCGGCAACAGCAGATGTATCTTTGAACTACAGTGAATCATCCCTTGCTCTTTTGATTAACCAATCAATGTACCCAGCAGAAGCGGCGCCTGAATACGTTACACCACCACCAAACCTTTTAAAAATATATCACTTCACCTCCCATCACCCCGTTCCACCCCATCCCATCCATCCGTAAAAAAAATAAAGCACAATCCACATCAATAACAAAAAAAAATTCTGCCGAGATTCCCCAAAAGACAACGCAGCAAAACCTCCTTTTCTTTCGCACCCAAACCGGGACTCGAACCCGGAATCTTCAGATTAGGAGTCTGACGCGTTATCCATTACGCTATTCGGGCCCCACATTCGGGGTTATCTGTAAAAATATTTAGTCCATAACAAAAAGCAAAAAAGTTGCAGTAGAAAACTGTTATTTTTTTTGGTAGCTGTAAAAAAATAAATACACGAAATATTGTAATATGATGGGGTATTTATATGTGAGGTAGTCCTGTATATTTATTACTAGTTTTTGTATGGTTTTTAAGATAACTAATTTTTAAAACCCAGCATCAAATTCATTTTTCAAAATGACAGTAACCTACCAACTATTATGTTTTTTTGCGGCCTTCTCAGAATCACACAGTATCTCGGAGACGTGCAAATGACCAAGTTAACTAGGCTCTGTTGCATTGATGGCTGAATCTATAGTGAAGTATAGATTTACAACAGATTACAAGGCATTGCCTGATTCATCAGAAGAACTTGGTAGCAGTAAAGGTGAAGTCCATAAAATGTATTTTATCTACAACGCTCTTTATGCGGTCATAACGCTACTGATCGACCAGGCAATGTGTTGACATGAACCACGTATCTGTATGCTGTGAGGTTTATACTATATATAAGTAAAGTTAGACAAAAACAGATACCACTATCGCAACGGATATAAATTATTCGAAAGGTTATAGTACGAAAATAGAGTTTTAAATAGCCAGAGGTACGTAATTGTTATTACAGCACTGCGTAATAGAAATAAATAATTTATTTTATGCCAAAAGATAATGAGGGATAAAAAAAGATTATGAGTAATACCAGCCAGAATTACGCACAACGATAAACTTGTTGCCGTAGTCAACGCCTTCCTTTGTGATGGACTGGCAAACGGACAGCTTGATTTTTCTCAGACTGTGTGATCCATCGACCAAAATACGTATATCATCGTCATCAACACCGGCCACCTCAGTAAAGTCAAGCTTTCGCAGATTTGGTAATTGCGAGAGTTTGACGGAGAGCTGGTGGAACTTTCCGCCGATCAGATGTAAAATTACTTCTTGGAGGTTGTTGAGCTTTTCACCAACCGTTGCCAAGTCGTCGGCGTGGACGTCTTTGCCACTAATTACAAGCGTGGTCAGGCTGTTGAGGTTGTTCGCGAGGGCGTCCAGAGTATCTTTGCTGAGGCAATTGTCCAGATCTTGAAGATGTAAATACTTTAGTGTATTTCGTCCAGCGAGTCGACTGAAAAAGGACTCTAGACCCTCATCCGTAAGATTGACGTTGTTCATTAATTTGAGACGCTCCAGCTTTGGCAGTTGAAGCAGTGCATCAAATAGCTCGTCGGTAACTTGCGGATTGTTGCAGATGCTTACAGCAGTAAGACTTGGACATTGCTTGAGAAGCGCGAGGATTGTTTCTGTTCCGAAATACTTGATTTCCAGATTCAGCTTGCGTAGCTGCTTGCTGCTGAAACCCGAAAGAACATTCCAGTTCTCAACCTCATTATCCAAAGATTCTTCATCATCCCATTCCTCAAGATCTTCGTCACCAGCATTCGGATCGAAAAGAAACAGTTCCTCAAGTGTGTTTTTACTTTCATCCATGAGGGTATATACCGGATCGACATCCTCCCCCGCTTGGACATAGAGCTCGAATGTTCGCAGGCCGATATTGTCGGTAGGCTTGTAGTTTTCGTCGCGTATATCCTCAGCAAAGGAGTCGTACGGGGCGTTTAGCGACAGGTACTGGAGATTGGGAAGAAGGCTACGGATTGTTGACAATCCATTTAGAGGGCAGTCGGTACTAAAGTACAGGAGGTTCGGACTGGCTCTGCACACGGTTTTCAGGTAGGCAAGGGCTTTACTGGTATTAAGCCAATCTGCCTTCAGAGACAAGTGCGTGAGACTCTTGAACGCAGGTAACTTTCGCTGTGGGAAGCCTTCCCCAACACCAGTGTGCTGATTGAAGCTGAAATGAGTGACAGCCGTAAACTTGCTGAGTAATCGCCACACCGGAACAAATAGCTCAGTTGCATCCATATCCTTATAGGTGCCGTACTGGAACGTCAGCAGAACCTTTTTTAATGTCTTGCGAAGATTTTTTTTTACGGATGCCTCCAACGCGTCCACATCAAATTCATCGACAATGATACCTACACATACTATATCAGTATAATGCAGCTTTCTGGCCGCCCTATACGCTTACCGAGCGTTTGAAGATTTCGAAATCCATTGTAAAGGCTATACACAAGATCCTGTACAGTGTTTGATCGGATTTCGGGGCCAATCAAAAGCTGGCGAACATTGTTGCTTTGCGATCGAATAGCTTCGCAACATCGTTGGATCCGCATCAAATTCTGCTCAAAGTCCTCATAATCATCGTTTTCTTGAAGTATGACATGTTCCAATGCTGCCCTCGATTTGGAAATATGCTGACGCCATGTTCGGCTGACCGTTTTAGACGTCAAAAGGTCATCAAGTTCGATTTCTCGAATGATACCTTCCGCCACTTCCCATGGCAACACAGCAATACCATCGATCCGCTTGTCACGTTGGTTCACGGCTTCGTCCAATTTTGGTGACAGTTGGCTTGTCTGTTGCGGGGCAATAGCGATGGCCCTTTCAAATGATTCTACCGCGAGGCTGGACTTGCCTTGCATCATGAAAATTTCACCTGCGCGAACGTGTGCTTGGTATGCTTGGGGGCAGACAAAGGTCCAGTCCCGGGCAATATACCCTGCCTCAATGAGATGGTTTCCTGACAATTCTTTTGCGATTCTTGCAGTAAAATCATCGTCATCAATGTGACATTGGTAACGTTTTTTGATCGCGTTCACGAGGTCATTGTCATCGGCAGGTAGCTCAGTAGGCGCGTTTTGCTGGTGTTGTTCTTCTGCTATGACTTTCTCAGGCTTCTGGGTTGTCAGCTTTTTCGCTCTGGAAGACATTGTGGTGGAGGATTTTCGTTTTGGCATCCCAGAGAAAAGGCTGCAGGTGTCTGTTTGGTGGCGCTTTTTCAATTATTCAGCGGGTTTTGTGATAAAGAATCCATCCGACGAACAACTGTCATAGACAGCCAACTAGTGTCCATCTATTTCAAGCAACAAAATTAGTAAAATCACAGTCCGTGTGTAAAATGAAAGGGTATATCCTCTCTAGGAGTGTTTTGCCACATGTGTAATCGAAGCACCGTCGCTATCCGATCGATCGGAAGCATGGACTGAACAAATACCAGGAGAGCATTATTATGCAGGCATTTTGATCGCTACCGTGTCTCACATTGAGAACATCATCACCGCCACATTCGCAGCTGGAAGGCTTACAACGATATAACCTATGCTTCTTTACTATAGTTTGTTTTTAAAGGAAAATGTCACACATGTATCTATTCCAGTGTCTGTTTGATAAGAAGAAATAGAGCCCACTGTTTATGCCGGTCCCTGAATCACAAAATCACAGTAAGGTTGGTCAGCAGGTCACTTGGAGCGAGAAAGATGCTTGCAATGTCGCAATAGTCACGAGGTACAACCATACATACCATCTTCTACCATTAATAATATCTGAGAAGAACCAGATTCAATGTCTGAAATGGATATAGTCGGTATTTGGCTCAAAAATAAGGGATTGATCATCATCGAGTAATCCTCTTCACTGTGCAGATAAGTGATAGTTCTGGTATCATTGGTACAGATATGCGAGACCCTCGGTGCAGCAACAAGTAAATCTTCAGGATCATACATAGCCACATGCATTTGATTGCAATGTCAACTGCCATGGCTCTTGGTACTATTTAATTATTCTGCATTCTTATTGTTACATCACACTGCTTTTCATTGGTGGACGCTGTCGAGAACCAAATTGCTTTACACAGTAACTGACAAGTGACGGTGTCTTGGGTACCAATCGCAATAAGTGGAAAAGTTTACAAGGACCTAGATTGTTTCATGACGCGAGTGGCTGCGCAAAAGTAGTATATTGATGGTATTACTAAATCTAGATGCTCACCCGCTTACCTATACACCTTAGAAATTCTTGGAAAATTGCCAAGAAGCGTAATTTTGCGTATTGGTATCCATCGGATCTTGGCCAAGTAGGCTAATAGCAGCTGACAAGGGGAAAAGGGGGGGGGGAATGTATGTATACTATGGGTATGAGCGATGTCATACATCGCAAGAGTACGTTAGTCACTTTGTTACTAGACTAGTAGTGTGATGCTGATGCGACCAAGTATGATCTTTGATATTCGATAAAAGAGCGTTTTGAAGGTGATCTCTTTTGCTTGTGCTCTAACTGTAGCGCAAAGGTACATATACCCATACAAATCTCCGGCTAGGCAAGTACACTCGCCAAAATGGCTACATACTCAGTTTGACGCCTGTGGCATGAAATTAAAAAGCTTGAAAGTAGCCTAACCTTCTTGAGAGCATATAGGGGTTTTGCTTTCAGTCGTAACGTATGTGTTATGTCCAAAACAAGAAGTTCGTATTCTTCAGACAGCTTCGGTAGATTATAATAATGACGAAACTATATGATCTCAAAATAAATGCTACGCAGCAACTAGGATTTGATATAATTATTCGACCAGCAGACCGAAAAAAACAGACCATAACGGCACTAAATCTCAGGATGACATCTGTTGCTTGATGCAATTCCAACCTTATTTTGCTTTAGAAATCTAGGAATGCCAACTCCGTTGAATTAAGTCTAAGCACGTAATCGTATTGAGAGGAGCGCATTGGAGATGTTTAATCCATTATTCATAGCTCGGTTGCTGAGTATTTGCGTTATATAGCTACATCATCATTATGCAGCCCTTTCCTGCGTAAGCTGCTTAGATTGTCAATTCAATTACAAAATGCATTCGCCATCTAGAGAGCGCAGCAAGTGAGAGAATTACGTATGTCGTTTGGAAACTTTTTACATATTTGCCTGATGTAGCAATCGAATATACGCGGTGTAACCACCTATGTTTCGGAGTGTGCCGTAAAGGTCATCCGCTTCTGCGTAAAACCAACGAGAGATTCATGTGGTAGGGGTATTGAGTTAAAGTCGACCACGCGAACAGCCTTGAATTGGGCAGTATCCGCAAA